TTTCCAATGTACCACAGAAAATTGATAAAAACCACGAGTAAGAGGTGACAGCCGCATAATTCCGATATCGTTCGGGAATAGGAACAAATTGAGATAGGGATGCGTGATTGTGATGCCCATTGACAATAAATGAGCATTGTTCCACGTTCCAAAACTGATTACGCAGAATATTGATATAGTCTTCACCAACTCCAGAGTTCTGAAATACTCAGAATATAAACTGACGAACATATGCATACGTAATTTAAATGAATTAGAAATATTTTTATATACAAATTGTAGTTTGATGTCAAAAAGCTTCCAGCATAATAAGAGTAATTCACCTTTTAAAGAAATTTACCTTAAACATTTGGATCCAAATATTAGCTGCATGTTCGGCTACTGAACTTTCGATTATCGTTGTACCAATACTATTGTAAGGAATCGTATTCCAACCACCATGATGAATAGGCTTTATGAGATTAATCGAACAATTTCTCTCTTGCTCAGCATTTCCATTTACTAGCAACATTGGATTAGATCCAAGTGTATTATTAGGCAAGATGGCACCCAAAATCGAATAAGCATTTTCTAAATGTTCATCAGTAATATTTGATTCACGCAGATCAGCACCGGAAAAATCAACATCTGACATTGATGTGTGCGCAAAATTAACATTTTTCAAGTCGGCTTCATGAAATGAGACGTCGTGCAGATTTGATAATTGTAAATTAGCTCCTTGTAATACACTGCCCGTAAAATTCGCTCTTATAAGGTATCGAGAAAAAAATGAGGTGTTGATTAGAGAGACTTCTGTCAGGTATATACCTTCAAAAGTGGACCTTTGCTTGTTATAAAGCATAGATGTACCTAAATCTATATTATTTAAATCTGCGCCACTCAAATCGATAGAATTACGAGGATAAGTGATTGCTTTGAGGTCGTAAAGAAACTGAATTAAATAGGTCTTTCGTATGGCATCCAGTTGTCGGCAAGCACTCAAAGTCTTGGCACGAAGTATAGAAGCCATCAGAGGATCAATGTTCACAAAAGAGAAATTTGATGTACTAATAATCATCGATATATCATTAACATAGGTAGCAAAAATGGCATCCCATTGAAGTGTATTAGCAATAAGCAAGTCCTGCTCACGTGTATACTTGGCAATAGTCAAACTACTTAATCGGTTAGCCTCAGCAATAGCCAAGTCTTGTTGACGCTGTTGGCTTGCAATATGAAGCTGAACGATTGCGATAGCTATAGTGAGTAAACCAATCATACCCGGAATAAAAATCGAAGCACAGACATCACGTACATTTCGAGTTGTTGTAGTTGATTTGGAGAGCTGATCTTTATATTCTGTTGTTGTGGGAACCATATTGCTGGTAGATAATATCTCTGGAATAAGTTGACTATATCTTTATGGAAAATATAATAATGACTTTTTGGATGTAATCATTCGCGACGTGTCTATTCTATGTAATAGTATCCCTCCGAATATATATACATCAACACACGTCTCTCATATTGACTCAACACCATTTCTCATAAACAGCATGATTGTTTATTTCATTCATCCCATACTAACGGGTGCGGCAGAATAAATGGCCCTTCCAGTATTTTAGCTATAACTTTTTTGCTGTTTGATCTTTAGAGCTGGTTGTCTTTCCAAAAGATGCGCCGTGAAATTCTCTACAAAATCATAAGCAAACTTATTTCTGTAGAAAGTTAAGGAAAAAAATTAAATGAAGAATATCCAACACATAAAAAGTATCCAACTTTCTAAACAAACGAATTTTTCATGATGAATGATCAATGTTTCCATGTTTGCATCTCTTTTTTTATCGTTTAACATTTTTATTTTAAAAGCAAAGTATACCATAAGATGCAGCGCGAAAAGCTCTATAAGTTACACTAAAAACCTTATTCTATATATGCACTCTTTTTTTTCCCAAATGGTCAAAATTCTGTGCGACCGATTTTCGACGCTGCGAACAAGACCATTTATTGATCGCGCAGAATTCTGCTTATTTCAGAAACAAAAGGTGCACATATAAAATGAATTGTTCTTTGCAAATTATAGAGCTTTTCACGCTCTATTTTGTGGTGTATTTTGTTTTCTTTTTATCACACATATTAGACGATAAAAAGATGAAATATGAAAAAATGAATTTCTAGTATACCAAAAACTGATTTCTTTTGCAGTGTCGAAAAGTGATCATATAGGATTTTGTCCATTTTGAAAACAAAGAGTGTGTTTATAAAATAAGGTTTTTAGTGTAACTTATAGAGCTTTGCGTGCTGCATCTTATGGTATACTTTGCTTTTAAAATAAACGCACTAGATGTAAAAAAAAAAGATACAAATACTGGCCATTCATTATGAAAAATTCGTTAGTTTAGAAAGTTGGATACTTCTTATGTGCTGGATAATCTTCGTTTAATTTTTTTCCTTAACTTTCTACAGAAATAAGTTTGCTTATGATTTCGTAGAGAATTTCACGGCGCATCTTTTGGAAAGACAACCAGCTCTAAAGATCAAAAAGCAAAAAAGTTATAGTTAAAATACAGAGAGGGCCATTTATTCTGCCGCACCCGTTATTATTGCTTATTTTTTGTAGTACATACTGGCATCTTTCATCTTGTGGGTGTGGATATGGGTGGGGTGTGGGTGTGGAGTGTGGATTTACTGTTTATCCACGCTCACACCCTTTTCTTCTATTGGAAAACAGTATATAACTTCTATTGGCTGATTTTCATCGTTTCGAAATAGTTGTGTAATACTAACATCTGCACCAAATGAATGAATCTTTGAAATGATTGTAACTAGTTATTTCTAATGCTACATATTTCTGATCGTGAGTTAATAGATCAGATTTGATGCGAAGCATTTTTTTTTAAGCAGAAAGCAAACAGTATTACAACTACTAATTCTTGTTTGACAGAACAAATATGTCAGCGCTTTCAGCTTTTATACGAGTATGAAAAGATAAAAGTAATGTCAGTTTTTTTTCTATTTCACATGAATCACTGCCGTAAACACAATAGAAAGAAATACGTGTTTTCTTATACTGCAGTAACCTATTTATCACGACTTATCAGTACGTGACATCTTGTGTCTCTGTATTGTGAAAAATGGATTGATTCAAACTTGTGAAGAAAAAACCAACAGTGTATCAAAGTTAATGGAAATTCGAACATCAATGATTCACCAATTGGATCGACTTAAGTAGTTCTATCATTATACAAAGACTTGTAATTCATAAAAATTATGAAGCTTTAATATACTTATTTTCGGATTCAATAATAGTAAGATGCAAGATTAATTTTACTGTATCTATGCCAAGAATATTGTAAAACAACAGTGATAATTTGCGATCTATCACTGTTTTTCGTAATTTCGGTATCGGCTATAGATGTTGGACGTGAATCTTCTTTTCATACGCACTAAACCTGATATACATATATAAGTCATGTAGACGACCACTAGGACGTTTCTATTGGAACATAGCACTTCTTTTTTGAGCAAAATGTAAGGACTAATGGAATATTTTTATTGAGAATGAAATTTTACCATGGGAATCATTTTTTCGCTGAAAAATAGTCGCTGTTAGATGGTTTCGATAACATGTCTGACGATGCATTTTTTATACAATTTTGAGATTGCTTCTCTCAGTCAAATTCCATTAACCAAAAACGAAAATTTTCAGACATGGTAGTGCTAAGTGTACTGATGAAGATGCATTACTGAACAAGTTTTAATGATCAGATGATTGTGCTTTAGGAGCATGTAAATTCGGAAAATTTTCAAAAATAGGTCTTAAAGATGACTATGCGATTAGATTCTCGTACAAGTTGCCAATTTAGGAATTTCAGCGTTAGATAAGGGATAGTTCGGCAATCCTAAAACACTGATAAAAATTAAAAGTCTGTTCGGTTTCATAGAAACATTTAAGGCCCAAAAAACGTCAGAAATTAGCATTTTTTATAGCGACTTCTCAAAAAATAGTACACGGAAAGAAAACTTTTACTACAAAAAAATGATTATTTTAATGAGTAGTATCTATGGTAAGGTTTTCACACTTTTCTCACTTAAAACAGCATGCCTAGCTAAGATCCAGTTTGACTTGGGCAGTTCACCTTATCGCCTCCTCCGTTTTGATCCTTTCGTAAGGTTTTCAATTTTGGATGTGAGTAAAATAAATACTGATACCCACACTCATTCTCACAATTTCTCTTCGAAAAAGAAAACTCATCATCACATACGAATCATTCGTCATGGTAACAAACAATTTTTTCGATGAGACAGTACATCTCCATGGTGCTAAATTGAAAAATCTTATTATAGATGAACTATTTGTTCAACTAGAAAACTTTCATCAATATTTTCTTCTATTGTAAATATTACTTTTGCTTAAAAAAAAATATCTGAATAAAAAGAGTCAGTTTATGACAGTCAATATACTTGAATGATATTGATCAACTAAAAAAAAAATCAAACAAGAAAGAAAACTTTCTTTCATCTATACTATATTTCAGATTTTTCCTATTTCAAAAGAAAAATACTACAATGTATTTTCGTTTCAATACATAAATGTCTTACGACTTTTTTGTTTGTGTCGCTTAGATAGACTAAATAGATTTTGCATTGCGACTATATACATTTAATTTGATATGTCATTACAAAAATTTCATTCGACAATGATAACTTTGAAAAGTATTTGTGAAGTTTGTTCCTATAAATAAAAATTTTACTAATTGATTTTTCGTTTGTTTTAAAGTTATATATTGTATAGAGAGAGTTCTTATTCAACTATGATATGTGCATTGTGAATTTTAATGTATTCTTTTCTCAGTTATGAACTTTCAATAGTAATTAATTTAATTAGGCATTACTTAACTTGTGACATCTGCTACGATCACTAACAATAGTAGACATCGCGTGTATTGAGTAAGATAAGCGATTTTTTCGATATTTACAATATATGTAAAATGTCCACAAGTCAAAATTGTAACACTATTTATTTTTCTTTTTTCATAATGGTTAGATAGGGCTCGCCAAGTTGCATAAGAAAAAGTATGTTTCAAACCTAAACAAGTATTTTTAAAAAATGCATGAGAAAAGTACAAGATTCCATTATCTTCAAATATATGAAAAATAGACCATATAGTCTGACTTTTATGAAATCTTTTAACATTTTTTTTTTTATTAAGTTTGACATACCTTTTTCTCTGCAACTCGAAGAGCTTTATTCAACCATCACAAAAAAAAAGAAAAATAAATAGTGTTAAAATTTTGACTTCTAGACATTCTGCATATACTGTAAATACTTAAAAAATCATTTATCTCGCTCGGTATAAACCATAGCCAGATCATATGTCAAATGTTCTTTATTAAAATTACAAAAATCTTTGATTGCAAGTTAAACTGTTGCTATTGTCATTATAATCACTTGATGAATTTGAATAAATTCAATAAACTTCAAAACAATAAGTTTCACTAGTTTTTTATTTTTGTATTTCTTCGAATACTCTTTCGAATAATGGAAATTGAATATTGCATATGCACTTGATATGTGTGCTGATATTGACTAAACATTGTTTAATCAGATTCCACATCTGTAAAGTTAATTATTAATCGAGTAGAAAAGTCTTTTGAATGTTTTGTATTTCTTTCATCTCAATATCTTATGACTTTTGACACCATTGTTTTTGTAGTTCAGCACATTGAATGTAGACAGTCATCATATTGTTTCTGGATTGTTTAACAATATTCTTCTATAGTTAATCAGTGACAAGCTACTACAGAGTTGTCCATGATAACAACTATCCTATCAGCTGCCGAATTTTGGTAACATATTTAACATTTTTTTCTCTTCTTCTCTTGAATGAATACGAAAATGAAACAAATTTGTTTGAATTGATATTCTCTTGCTACAGTTTCTATTTCGCTCATTTCAATAGCTTTATTCGAACTGAGCAGCGAACTAGCAGTAAGTAAGTCGTGTCATTAAAGAAGAAAAATCGATCAGTCTCCACATTTTTTTAATTGTTATGTACAAGACATTGACTTCAAATTTATTATGAACAAATCATCAAAAACGTTCGGTGAGAATAACATCATGTATCGAACTGTGTCGGTGCGGTTGTTGTCTGGTAGTAATAGTAGAAATACATATTTTCTCGACGTCATCAGTTTTAGCATGAGAGTCGAAGTGGAAGGTAAAAAACTGCATGATAATTAAACTATGACAAAGACACGCAGCTGTGAGTTCGGAAACTACATTAATATGCTTGAAAATATGTTTGTCGGAATGAAAATAGAGCCATTCACATGTCACAGATATGGTCACAACGACCACAAACAAATATAGAAACG